CAAAGTAGAAATAGCTATAGGGAAATTGCTAGCATATGGGTTATGTAGTCAACAACCCATCTGAATGTTATTTGTGGAGAAGAATCGACTGCTTGCTTATTTTTTCCTCTTGGAGTCAGAGGTGAAGTGCACACTAAACCATACTATATGCAAAAAAATTCATTGTAGACACCCTGGGAGGTTGTTGATTGGTTCCTACAATGAGACCAGAAAAACCTCACCTCTTTCTGCCTCTCCCAGAAGGAGTCATGGAGAGAACATTTTTCTTTCCTCTTCAGCCCTAGAGAATGTTTTTTTGACCAGTGACCACTATTGACATTGTGGTCTAACACTCTATAAATTGCCATTTAGTGTTAAAGACTGTCAAAAGCACATGGATCTTGTGACTGCCTTTTGTCACTGATATGCTGGAGAAGGGACAAGTTATGAGAAGGAAGAGAGTTAATATCACTAGTTTTTGTGTGTAGAGAAATAGTGACTAGAGTACACAGTCCTAACCCAGACCCAAGAGAACCTGCCACATGTCTGGTCCGCTCAGCCAGTGACTTCTTTGGGAAGGCTGAGGTGTGAAACAGAATTCTAATGATTGGAATTGCTGGTTTCTAAGAGGCATATTCCAGAAGAAAGTCTGGGATTGCCTTAATTGCTTCCCTAGAGAGCCTTGTGGAAACCCTCATGCTTCTTGTATTACAACCCATAGAAACTCCAGGAGTTTTGAAAACTGGCTGTAGCCAGATGGCATTCACCCTCAAGCATCTTTCATATGTGTCACTATAGGACAGAAAATAGTGTTTCTTCTCCATTGAGGAAGACATCAATATAAAAGGAAGTTCCTTCCTCTGTCACATACCATCTCTCAATCCTTCTTCTCTCACAGCTGCTTTAGGCAGAAGGGGAGCACATAGTGTGTACTCTATTTTAACTCATTGTGCCCTCAGAACAACCCCATGAATTCAGTTTTACCATTATACCCATGTTGCAAAACAGGAAACCGAGACCTGGAGGTAAAGTAACTTGCTCAGAATTGCATAACTTGTAAGTGTTAGAACCAGGACTCAACCCTGGGCAGTCTGGCTACAGAGCATATTGCAATTCACTACCTGTGCTGCATTACCTGGTTCTAGGTCCCCTAGGCATTTGACTTCAGACTCTAAGAAAGTGATTGCCCTCTTTTTATAATATAATTTCTTCCAGTACACATAGAGTGAAGTGTCAGTGAATTAGGAGGCTTTTAAAAGGATAAGATGCATTTTTGATAGCAGAAGAACTTAGTGCCACTTGACAGCTCTATGAGCAGCCCCATTGCCGCATTGCTATCACTCAAGGGACCTCAGCACACCAGGATCAGTTGGTGAGCAGCCCTCAGGTCCCTCCCATCATCAGAGAGCTTTAGGGGGGCTGACAGTCCAAAAGCCAAGGAAAATAGTTCTATTTTTGCTGCCATCTAATTTTCAATTCCTTCAGCAAAACTTGACCTGTCCTTGACATTGGGGGCACAGACATATAGCTATATTTATCTATAGATACATATCTATACCTATGTATCACCATTTATCTCCTTCCATAGTGGTTGCATCCACAAGGAAGGAAACAACCCAACTTGTAGTCAGCAGTTGTATTAATTGTATAAATCAATACAAATGCCTATAAATACAACAGTCACAATAAATGATAATGAGTATAAATAATGTTTACAAGTACTTTAAGGGGGTACAATAAAATAGGTTGGGATTTTGCTGGCACTGGGCAAAAGCCGTGGGATTAATTAGGGAGTCTATTGGAGCAAGTTGCAAAGATTAAAAGGAGAGGAAGATTTGGTACAGCTACCATTTGAACCAAGGAAAGTGTGGCATGCCTATGGTGTAACTTGATGAATGAGCACCAGAGAAATAGAAGCCATCACCAAGGCACTTAACTTCCTGGGTCTCAGTTCTTCCATCTGTCAGTATGGAAAACTGGGTATTGAAATCAAGGGAACAGCATGAAGCACTTGAAGTTCTTCTGGAGAAAAGCATCAGCATCGTATATCCTTTGGGTTCTGGAAATGCTATTATTTGGAAGAAGTGCCTGTGGCATGTGACACCTGATTTGTGCCAAGTGCCAATAATTCAGGTGTCCTTTGGTAAGGAGGCAATCTGAAGCATCTACATAGAGGAAATGATAGGCATTTAAAATCTTGCAAGGAATATACATCTCTGCAGCATCAGAGTGAGCTCAGCCTATGCCAAGACTGCATAAGCCCGGATCCAAATCTCAAATGACTGCCCAGTCCTTGCTCTTCTGGTTGGCGTCAGTCAATCACATGTGGAATCAGATGTTGCCTTGCCAACCTGACTGATGTGTTTCCAGCAGAGCTCTGTTTATGTTTTGGTCCTCATTTGTGTGATGGTCTGTGTTTTATAACTTGAGTCGCCAAGAATTTTTCCCACGGCTATGCATCATTCCTTATCACTCATAACCAAATATGGCAGCTTTAAAAAGTGCTGTCATTTTCCTCAATTTCACTCATTGTGATATAATCAGGTATAGATTTCTGACATTGAGCATCTAATGGGGTTTCAGATTCAGAAAGCAACAATAAAAGATTTTTTTTCTCCTGGATGTCTCTTAGGTGAGAGACACAGAGTGAAATAGTCCTGAGTGACAGAGCCCATAGAATTCACATACATTTGCCCAGAGAAAGTCTGAGATCAAGAGGGACTGCATGTGTAGACCAAACTAGTGATTTCTGCCGCAGCTAGAATAATTTCTCTCACAGGATCAGCTTTTTGTCCCCTTCCAGACTCCATGTATAGGTTCTGTACTGTCTGTGTCTTCCTGTGTCTGCCACTGGCTTTTATGATGATGAAGAAGACATGTTTAGCCTGTGAGAGACACTGAAGTGACCAACCAGGGTCTCCAGTTCTGCTGCTGCTGTTTAGTCCCTTGCTTCCTGTAAGAGGATTTACATAATGATGTTACCAGAAATGCTGAAATGGTCTTCTCGATGTTTTTTTCCTGTCCTCTTCCCTTAGTTACAGGGTTATGTCCCTCAAGTTGTTTCCTTTCCCCAACAAATCATCTGAGTGTTCTAGAAAGATCAAGCATGCCTGTACCACAAGGAAGATGCTTGAAATTAGTATCAAAGGGCTGTTCCTTGGCCTAAATATACTGTGAAAGAAAACCTGAGAGGCTCCTGTCACAATACTGAAAGGCCACAAAACCCAACAGTGATTACTCTATTGGCAGGAAAGCCAATGACATCTTCTCTGTGCTCCTTCTGGGATGTTGTCCCAAAGGAGAATCTTTAGGTGGTTCAGGAGTGGGAAACCGTCCAGAAGAGAAGGTGAGAATCATCCATGACTGGGGCTGTGCAAATACAGCATGACCATATAGAACTGTGTCTTTCTCCCACCTGCTGCACATGCAGCTATGGGAGCAAATGCTGTTACTTGGGATTTCTCACTTGTTCTAGCTTCCTATGAATAGTGTGAGCTCAGAGAGCTGGTTGGGTTTAGCACAGCATTGGCAGAGGTGGTTCCTATTCCTGTTTCTAGGGACCCCAGTGTAAAGATGACTTATTGCTGTACCTGGATATCATATTGATAGAAGGTTGTCGTGACTGATGCCATCTCGAGCTTGAAAGCTTACCTGCTCACAGAACACCTAACCCTAATTCTGATTCCCAGTTCTATCCATGGAGTTCCTCAGGTTCTGAGATCATCCGAGCATAGCATTTTCCACTTAAAATGATCCTTAGGGACCATCTAAACCAGTGGTTTTTGAGTAGATGGAAGAATCAAGCCTAGTAAAAGATCAAGGCAGCAGCCAGGGCTGGAGAGAACACACTCTGTGTACAGTGGCAGCCACCACTCAGCTCCAGTGCTGCCCGTGTTATTATATAGTTTTATAAAGAAGCCAGAAATCTAGATTTTTATGTGAAATCTTCCAATCATTTACTACTAGGAATTAATATAAATTTTAATACTTCAGAAGCCTGGTGTGGTGGTGCACACCTGTGATCTCAGCACTTAAGAAGCTGAGGCAGGAGAATCACATGAGTTCAAGGCCAGCCTGGGCTACAAAGTGAGTACAAGGCCAGCCTGAACTGCACAGTGAGACCCCCATCTCAAAAAAATTTATACTTTGGGGTAAATTAAGCAAGGCCGTGGGCTATATGTGGTCCAAAGGCCATGATGGTTTGGTTCTGTTCTAGCCCAGCTCAACTGAGGCCAAAGGAGAACTTGCCCAAGACCAGACAGCTAAGATGGCACAGAAAACTTACAGTGCCATATTATTTTCCTGGGGAAATTGGTGGGAGGTTGGCATTTACTTTCTATTCCTGCTCCGTCCTCCAGCCAAGCACATCAGTGGACTTGGGATACACTGTGTTTTCCTGTGGCATAGTGAGACAAGCGCTAGGATTTGAGATAGATGTGTGTTTGGTTCCCAGGTATTCAACTTAACAATGGTGGGAACTTGGACACATCTTTTGACAGCCCTGGGCTTTGGTTTCTTCACTAGTGAAATGAAAATACTAAAGTGTGCCTCTGAGAACTGATTGAAGGTCTATGTAAGAAGGTCTCGCTGAGTATTAGCACACTCATGAGAAACACTGGAGTGGGAAGGGGGTGCTGATGTCAGCCTCTAGCACTGCAGACCCCCACAGCTCAGAGGGCTTCCAGAGCCTGTCCACGCTGTCCCCCACCACAGTGGGTGGTCCACAGGTGTGTGGAGGGCTGGTCCACTTTCTCAGCACAAGGCCTCCCTCATCCCTGGAAGTGATATACCCCACTCTAGTTCTGATTTATCCACAGAGATCAGGGCTGGGTAGGTGTTTTGGAGCAGCCCCTGCTGCATCTTTGTCCCTACAGTCCTTCAAGCCAATCACTCAGAACCCAAATAATTATAATCTGGCCAGACCCACAACTCACTCTGCCCTCACTGCCCTGCCTTGCCCTGCCCAAGGGCCATTGTGACTGAATGTGTGTGGTGAATCATGTTTTCATCTCCATTTCCAGGGACGCAGACCAGGCTATTTCTCCTTCCTGGACCCCTTTTCTCCAGGCGTCTGGCTCTTCATGCTTCTAGCCTATCTGGCTGTCAGCTGTGTCCTCTTCCTCGTGGCTCGGTACTCTGCTCCCCTTCCCTGTCCTCACACCGCCACCTCGTGTCCACCTCTAGGAACTGCATGGGGCAGGGGCGGGGAGGAGAGGGGTGATTGAGATCTTGGTGCCAAACTAGAAAGATGAGAGAGGGACTCTGGCCCTGAAACGCTCTCTGCCCAGTTGTCAACCTCACACTCCCCATCTAACCATCTACGTGTTTGTGCCCTCCCTAACATACATAGCGCAGACTGGGTTTGTCTGGATTTGGTTCTACACCTGCAGCTCAGGCTCCCTCCCATTTCTCAACCTCTGGCCCCCTCCTCCTGTAGGATCCTTGGGAAAGAGAGGAGGGGAAGAGGTGGCAGGATGATCGCTCTGATTAAACACTGCATTTGGCTGCCCTGGCATTGGTCCTTGCCAGGATCTGTTACAAAGTGCTGAATGACAGGAAACAGAGCCTGAAAATCCAGAGTGGTGGGACTGGAGCCTTCCATGACATGGGCCAGGGAGAAATCAGAGCTTGAATCTGTCTCTTAAAACAAGCTCACTTGTGGAATAAGACAGTGGAGAGTGGCAGGTGGCAAGAGGATAGGATGTAGAGAAGTCTTTTGGGGTAGCGTGTTGAGTTAAGACAAATTATCTAGATCAGGGGTTGGGGAAAATAAGCCCTCTCCTAGCCCCAAAAGCTAGGGACTGCCCTCGCCCTGTGAAAGAACCCAGGGGATGTCCCTAGGCTGTGGTTTCTCAAGAATGTGCACAAAAGGGCTTATTTTGCTCTGAGTCTGAGAGCTCTTGGACCAACCTGGGATTGGTTGGGAGGAGCCAGAAGGAACTTACTATGCAGAAGTGAAAGTACCCCTAGTGCTCCCAGGCCATTCACTGAAGTCCCTACTCCCTGGTCAGCCTTCACCTTACTCCAATGGGTTGTTATATGGGGGCAGAGAGCTAATCAGGATGACCTCATAGAAATCAGATGGAGATCTAGTACAAGTATCCTCTCACTTGTCTCTTTTGCTTCTAGGCCACAGTGGCAGGGCCAGATGATTCTATGGCATACTCCACTTGTGCAAGTGGGCTCTTTCCTGAGGGCATGTTCATTCAGTGGACAAGGAGGGCGCATTCTGTCTTTGGTTAGGAGAGGCAGCAACAGTGTCCTGCGCCCAAGGAACCTTAGGATGCCTAACTCCCAGGCCAGTTCCTGTCCTGACCAAGTGAGGTTGCATTGCCCTATGTTAGCCTCTTCCAGTAGAGATCAAGGTCAAGATCGGGAAAGTCATCCAGGGCCCTACAAGATCCAACCTGACAAAGAGTAGCCTGGCTTATACTCGGTAGCCTACAGAGGCAGCCAAGTTTTCTGCTCTCAAGACACCTACCCATCTCGGGCCTCGTGGGCTCATTCTTGCTACTGTCAAGTATCTGTTGTCAGTGACAGCTGGCAAGGTGCAGGAGCTCACATGCTGACACTTCTACTCTCCACTTCACAGCATTGTCTGTGCTTCTTTTAGGAAGCTGTCTGCATGTGTCTGGCTCCTTTGCTCTTGATTCTCTCTGGCCCCTGTGATTAAGCCCCTGTGCATGTCATGCCATAGCTCCCAACACCTTTAGGGCCCTGGAAGGATTCTTAGGGCTTGATCAGCAGATACACACACACAAACTTGCCTCACCATGCCCCAGGCAGCCTAAAGCTGTCTTTAGGGGCTATGCTGCCCCACTTCCCTGCCCTCCTCACCCACACACAGTGTCCTGCATTAACAAAAATGTATTAAAGGACTAACAATGTATGTGCACATTCATACACACACACAGACACACTCACACAGAGAGGATATCCAAGCCTAGGATATTCTGTCCTAAGGCAGTGGTCTGTAATAAGGATTCTATGGAGCACAAAGGCTGCTAGGAGCTAGGATAGGGGTAGTTCCTTTGGGAAGTGACCACAGCTCTGGAGCCCCAATTCCTCATCTTCCAGATCTAGCTCTGCTTTTATCTCTTGTGTATTGTATTTCTGGGTAAGATTTTAGAGGGAAAAAATATTTGAAAACTACTGCCATTCCCCAGCCATCTGATCATCAGAGTCACACTGGGAGCTTTTAAACTTTTGAATTCATGGGTCCAGTGTCTCAGAATCTCTAGGGCTGGGACCCTGGAAGCTGTATACCTGGAGTGTGAGCCTCTACTTCTCAGGGTGGACACTGAATGGCAGGCATCAGTATCCCTGGGGAACTTACAGATTTTAGGTCTCACTGGTACTCACTGATTCAGAAGCTTTGGGAGTAGGGCATGGCAATCAGTGTGTTAACAAGCCTCCTGAGTGAGTCTAATATAGGCTGAAGTTCCAGAACTAGGCTGAGATTTTCAAACCCTGATTGTGTGGGACCCTAAGGTTCCTCCCTGATCCCTTGGGAACTTGGAATAGAAGAACAAGCAACTTCCTTACCAAGGCTGCCCATGCCTTGATATCCCCAGTTTCCAACCAAGGGGCTGCACTTTTATGTTTTGTTTATTAGAGTTCCACATCAGAACATATTCAGGGAGAAAAGTGTAACTTTAAAGAAAATAGTATGAGATCCACCAACAGTGTACCAATAGGGCACCAATAGTGCAAGTGTACCATTGTAACTTTTTGGGGAAGAAGGGCTTCAAATTCAGCAAAAGAAAGTGGCTGGCCCAAGGCAACAAGACCAGTTACTGAGGCACAGTGGTGAGGCCAGAAGGGAGAGCTGGTGCTTCTCTGCCCAGCACCCTTTATTCACACTTGTCCCCTCAACACCGGTGTATGTTCCTTTTCTCCCACAGGTTGACGCCCTACGAGTGGTACAGCCCTCACCCATGTGCCCAGGGCCGGTGCAACCTCCTAGTGAACCAGTACTCTCTCGGCAACAGCCTCTGGTTTCCAGTTGGAGGCTTCATGCAGCAGGGCTCCACCATTGCCCCTCGAGCCTTATCCACCCGCTGTGTCAGTGGCGTCTGGTAAGGTCCCATAGGAGACAAGGCCAGACCTGCGGGGCAGTGGGACCAGACAAATGGGGAGCAAAAAGGGACCTCAGTCAAGCCCTCACTCAGCTGCTGGTAGACAGGAACCTCAGAAGCCCTGCATGAGAGCCCTAAAACCTCCGCTTTTCATGGTGATCCAGCAGGGAGCTGAGCTACCTTTTGCCAGTTCCAAAGATTGCAGACAATGATGCAACCCATTCTGATTTATCTCCTCTGGTTCACTTTACTCTGCCTCTGAGGTCTGGATGCAGAGAGGAGCCCAGGAAGGCAGGAAGAGGCAAGAAAACACCCTTTATGACCCATAGCCAAGCAAAGATAACTTCCTAATGTGTAAATGACCTGAGTTTTGAGAGGCTGGGCCAGCAAGGCATATGCAGATTTATGAAATATGAGCCTATAGCAGGTAGTCTCTTCAAAGAGGTTAGGGTTAGACATCCAGAAATGGGAAAATGATTCCAAGGGTAGAAAACCTCTTTAAAAACCAGGATGTGTTTTCCCCATGCATGTATGGACTAATAATTTCTATTAGATGTGAGGGGGAAATGAAACATATATAATATATATCTCCTAGAGAGGTTAGTTTGCAAGAGATAGTTTCTGATCCCCTCTTGAAATCCACTTTCAGTTTGGCTGCAGCAACTTACAGGACTTAACATCCTTGGTCCTCTTGCCTCCTTCTCAGCCTGTTTAGACTACAGGAAAGGAAAAGTGGTGTTTCTTTCCATGGGTTCCGGTGCCAAGGTCAGGGGATGGTCTGGACAGAGGCAGCAGGGGAGCAGCTGCAGCTGGGGCTAGTCCCTGGGACAGCAGCCCCTTCCTATTTTGAATACTCATTTCCTTAATAAATAATACATATAGTATGATTTAAATGAGTTGGGAAAAATGCTCACCTATTATCAGACATTGCCAAGAAGTTGCTGAGTATATTGATGCAGAGAACTGGGACTCACTGTCCCCAGGAAAAATGGATAGCTTGGCAGGAGCAGTCCCAGAGTTCTCTCAAAATTCAGGAAATCAGAGGAGTCACCCTGGGAGATGAGCACCCATCAGCTGAGGATGTTGACCTCATTGTGCCTGGGGATCTTCCTTCCAGAGGGTGCACTTGCCCCTTGGTACAGCAAGGCCCTGTTGCCTGCTTCATCCACCTGGCTGCCCTCTGCAGCCTATGCCCAAGACCCCTCATCTAGAGAGCTTCAGAGGTGTGAGTCTTGAAAGGTGCTGCTCTAAAAAGCTGGCCCTGGTGGCCTGGTTACTGAGTCCTAGAGTGTGTTGGGAAGGGGCTTCAGCACTAAAGAGGAGCCATGGTGAGGGATGCTATGCTCACTGTTCCCTTACTAAATCAAGGCCACAGTTTGGTCAGTTCCCTGGGTGTTGGGAGATCCGAAGTCAGAGTTGCCTTGGCCTCCTCACCAGAACAATTGACAGAAAATGCCATGCTGCTCATGAGAACACAAACATCACAACCAATAACACCCCTTTAACATGGGAGCCCTGCCCACCACCCCCCAGAAACTGCATGAGCATCCTTTGCTTTCTCAGCAAAGGTGATGGGCTTGCATTGAGCTACTTAGGTTCTCTGACTCCTTCCCTTATGACCAGGGCCCTAGACTGCTGCCAGCCTACCTAAGGTAGAACAGATGTCAGAGTGTATTCCTATGGATGAGGGAAACTCCCAGCCAACCTTAAGGCCATGTCCTCACCCAGGACTCAGTGAGTCCCAGCTCTCACCAGTGCAACTAAGCAGTAGGAAGACACTGGCTTGTTCCTGGGGATGGTCATGAGAAACAACTTCCAACGGGGCAGAAGTCAGCACCCAGGGCAATGAGAGCAGGTCTTGAGCAGGGAGGGACACCTGACACTTACAGGTCTCACATGGGGAAGATATAAGGAGGTAACCAAGTGGTTTTCACCCATATGCAGGCTGGAGGTCTCTCTTTACATTTCTCTGTATCTCTCACATTCATGTAGTCCTTTACAGATTACTGATCACTAATGATATACTCTCTCATTTGATGTCACAACTCTCCCTAGACAGGCAGAGCAGGCTTTATTATCCCCATTAGACAGATGATCTTGGAGAGGACCAGGAGCCTTCCCCCATGATCTCACTGATGGAGTATGACCAGTATTGAAAGCCCGTTCACCTCAGTGGTGATCCAGCATAAAGATATAACTATCGATGGGTATCTGTGCCTTGTGGATACCCCGTCACTTCAACCCTAGGGAGGGAGCCAGTAGAAGTTCCTAATGACAGTGGCAAGAAAGGCAATGAGACTTCTTGCTTTTGAACATCTACCCAGCGGCTACCAGTTGCTAAGTCCTGTGGCCTATGCTTTAGCTAGCAATATCCTTATAAGAAGTGAAAGCTCAAGAATTCAGACCTCACTGATTCAGAATTTGTGATTCTTCAACCTAAATTGGGCTTAGTCTCTGTTTGAGCTCCTTACATCAAAAGGATTGGGATGCAGATCCATACTGTTAACCAGGTGAGAAAAGTTTGTTTCATCTACCTAAGTGAACAAACTTGTTAATGGCTTTAGCATATATTCTGCCTGCATTGCAAAATTATTCTAACTTTAAATGAGCTGTAACTACTCAATAAAATAATCTTCTAATTTGAGGTAGCATGACCATTGTAAGAGTATTTTCAAATTCTAACATTTTGGCAAGCTGAAGGTGTTTTCCATTAGTTTGTCTTCATTGAAGACTTTCTGCCGTCAAGATTTATAGAACTGCTTCTGAAATACACACATATCATTGTGCTACTTGGCAAGTTACTTTATTTCTCCAGCCTCAGTTTCCTCCCCTGTAAGATTGGGGTAGGACATTTACCTCCTTGAGTTGCAGGGATTATGTAGTGTGGCAATTGAGCTCATGGTAGGTGCTTGGTACCTGGCCATTCACATCTGAAGGCTGACTTCAGCATGAGGAGGTTGGAAGCCGGCCCAGTTCTATCTCTGAACCAAGTCCAAGTCGGAACCCTCAGCTCATTTACTAACTCATTTCCCATAGTCCCCAGACTATCTCATGTGCATGGACTACACATCTTCTGAATAACAGCCAATAATCACCTCCTTTCAGAAACAAGAAAAAAATGTCAATTGTGTTTTTCCAAGCAACACTCAACAGACTCAATTCATGTTCTCTTGACATCATATGCCCTGCCTCCTTTCTCTTCCCCCACTAAGCTGAGAGCTCCTTTAGAAGACAGACAGACCCCTGGTCTCTCCTATGTCACAGCAGGACTGGGTTTGGGGGCCAAGACAAGTGGGAGTGCCTGGGCAATGATGACTTCCTGGTCTTTTCCTACATAGGTGGGCATTCACGCTGATTATCATCTCATCCTACACGGCCAACCTGGCAGCCTTCCTGACCGTGCAGCGCATGGATGTGCCCATTGAGTCAGTGGATGACCTGGCTGACCAGACCGCCATTGAATATGGCACAATTCACGGAGGCTCCAGCATGACCTTCTTCCAAGTAAACCCCATTTGGTTGCTCGCCAACATTGGGAATTGGGCAGAATAAAGTTGAGATGTTTGTCCACTGGAGTTAAAAACATCTCTTCTCGTCTCATTATCTCTTTGGAACACTTAGTTTGGAGATCCACACGGGGCTCATTTTTCTCCTGTTCCACAAAATGAGCCAGAATGAGGTCCCAAAAGGACTTTGGGTTAATATTAGCCTATCCCAGAGTGATGTACATGGACAACTGTTAGTACTCGAGATGATTTTATGTCTAATGTGGTAGAACTTGTTTAAATGCAATAGCTTCATATATATATATATATATATATATATATATATATATATGCTGTGAATCAAACCTATAGTTTTATTTACATTATTGTATAGAGTGGAACTAATGTATATATTTAAATTTTAAGAAGTGAAGTAGATTTTTTAGGTGTTACTAAGACCAAACAAGATTAAAACAGTACACAAATGACTGGTGTTTGAGGAATACTAGATTAAGATGAAATGAAATCATCAATTCCAGGCTGATAGGCCCTCTTAGTTCCTTTGGGATTTCCTTGCAAGGCTTAGGGGAAGGGTCTGCCACAATAATGTGTTCACTGACTGACAAGCTGATTGATCACCAAGGCTGACAGAACAAGGCCAGGCAGACCAGTAGTTTTCATAGGCTTCAAGATCTCAAGGGAAGCAGATTTCCCCTGGGGCTAACAGGTATCCAACCTACCAAACATCCAAGAAGCTCATTTTTTAATGAAACAACCTCAAGTCCTTCCATTTTCTGTTTTCCATGCAAGTCTCAGAGCCTGTTGGCACAGAGACCACAGAAAGCATCATGTAACCACAAAGTTTGGAGAGACCCCAGAATTCTCTGGATTATTATAGGTAAAATAAAATAGAAGCCAGCATTGGATATATGAGAGATAAATTGTTTCAGCGTAAATAGCAAATAGTGGCACCGCTTCTGCAGGTGACATCTCTGTTTAAGTCCTGAATGAACCTGAATTCCCTACTCCAAACTGAAGGGTGATGAAAGGACATAGCCAGAAGTTCAGTTTTACCAGAAAATAGAAGGTGTCAATGACAGATCTCTAGGGTCGATGAGACAGAACTGATGATCAAACCAGTAGTCAGAATTCCCGGTGCCTTGGGACCCAGTTGTACCCTCATCTTTGTGCAAGCACAATGGCAGTGAACATCTTAAATAGAGAGATGGAAGGGAAAAGGTTCTTGACTGTTATGAGGGGGCAAGTGGTGGAAGGGCCAGTAATTTAAGGCCCATTTTGATTCCCTTCCTCTTTAAACCAACATTTCCTTTCTCTTTTCCCAATCTTGCTTCCTTCTGCTGTTTCCCCAGAATTCCCGCTACCAGACCTACCAACGCATGTGGAATTACATGTACTCCAAGCAGCCAAGTGTGTTTGTGAAGAGCACAGAGGAGGGAATTGCCAGGGTGTTGAACTCCAACTATGCCTTTCTGCTGGAGTCCACCATGAATGAGTACTATCGGCAGCGAAACTGCAACCTCACTCAGATTGGGGGCCTGCTGGACACCAAGGGCTATGGGATTGGCATGCCAGTCGGTAGGCAGGCAAGGAGCAGCCTCACTGGGTAGCTTCATCCAGGCAGGCTCGGGGCAACTAAAACTATTGAACACAATGCTGAATTCAGTAACTCCTGTTTCAGGATTTCAGGCTGAGGATGTAGCTCAGCACTAGAATGCTTGGCTGGCTAGCATGCATAGGGTGCTGGATTCAATCCCCAGTATTGATAATCAAGTAAATTAAAAAATGTATACAGTAACTCCTGTTCCAGAACCAATTTAACATCGACTTCAAGTGGGCCTTCTCAAGGTTTAAAAAAAGTAACAGCAAACCCATATACTTTTACTAATCAGTGTTAAGCACCCTGTCTGTAAATATGAAAGAAATGCTTGATTGGTTATTTAATTGATTTATTATTATAGGCTAATTCTCATTATGAAAGGGCATATTGATGCCCTCAGTAATGGATACTTGCTTCTCTTTTTCTGTTTCCTGTCCTTTGTCCATTTCTTTGATTGACATCTCTACTAGCAGGGGGAAGAAGGAAGAGGTCGTAACACCTAAATGAATGGATTAATTTTGCTTTTTGTTTGTTTCACTGTGAAAAGTTTGCTGATGTTATTGGATGTGATGGCTTTCAGTTATTTTTGGATTTCACAGATCCATCCACTCTGATTCGGCATGAGTGATGGAGAAAGGATGTCAAAGCTCTGGTGTTCAGCTTGCTGTCTGGTGCTATCTGCATGTTGTGTTATAGGAGGGTGGAGATAGTTGGCTTCCAGAAGGTATCTTAGCTGTGCTTTTTAAAGTTTGTTCACACTTGGGCCTTCCCCTGCTGGTAGTGCTTCCACCAGATGAGGGAAACATTTTTAGCTGTTGTTGTGATTGTGGAGAAATCTGAGTATGTTCTCCTGGTGATTCTGATATGTACCCTTCCCCAAGTGCACCACTGAGAGCCACTGATGCATAGGGTTGTCTTTGTACCTGTGTATTCTTTATCAAGGCATCTGGAGAAGAAATGGGAGTTGAGGTGGTCAGATAATATGAGAACATTGATATACTGTATGCACATCTTTGTTGTTATATCGTCTGTCCCATCTACTGATCTTTACCTAACTGCAAGCTCTATAAGTTATAGGATTCACTTATACCTGTGAAGTGTAATGAGCATGGTGTTAGAGTCAGACTGACTTGGGAAAGCATCCTGTTTACTGCCATCCTGGTACTTTAGAGAGTCTGTTTAACATCTCGGACTCTCAATTATCCCATTAATAAAATTGTTTCTAATACCTATTCATTGGGTTATTGTGAGGGTTAAACCTGATAATCTGGTCACAGTGTCTTGCACTTAGCCTGCCTGAGGAAATATTAGTGTCCTTCCCACCTTTGTCATAATTCCCTATGTTATCTGATAAAAATATGACTTCTTAAATACTGGTCAGAAACCAAGCAGCTGAACCAAGGGAGTAATATGGTTCATCTCTGAACTCTAGGTTCTGACACTTTTGGTTCTGTAAACTGGAGGCCTCACTCAGTACACCTGAAATGGACACATCCTCTATTTACTGTCATATTACATCATTGTCCATTAATATTACAGATTATGGGCCCATTTGAGAAATGTATTGGCTGACATTTTCTTTCAAGATGGTGGAGTGAGCCACAAAATGAACTTAAGGTGCATCTTGGTGATATTCTAGCTACTTAATTAGTTCAACTCAAATGTCAAGTGCTTCCAATATTTTCATTAGAAATTTGACTGTGTATAGTTGAGGTAAAACAGACCAATTCTAGAAGTTTCACTAATAACCAAGGGAAAATGGTGGGAAATGCATTCATTTTTTGTGTCTGATCTGATATTATTTTCTCATGTCTTATCTCACTTAATTGTCCCATTTATGAAATAGATGTGTTTATTCCCATTCTATAGAAGGCAGAACAGAGATTCAGAGAAGATAGGTTGCTTGTCCAAGGCCACAGAATAGGTCAAGAGGCTGGCTTGAATCTGGGATGCTTGTCTTCAAATCTAGTATTTCACTGATCAGACCATGCTGCTCATTGGACCCACCAGCTAGGCAGGGCAGGATAGGTGGGAAGATGTGCTGTGGTTCTCACAGAAGGCTGGGAAAAACATTACAGAGTTCACTGATGAGATAGGATTCAGTCCCCTGAGGTTACACATGTATCTCATTCTTAAGAGAGAAGTGAAGGAATAACTTCAGAATTAGCCATGTTGTTGGACATAAATAAAGAAGAACTAAAGAGAAATAGAATGAAGAATGAGATGCAAAATTGGTTGGGTGGTTTAGGAGCTAAGTAAGTCACTAAGAAGTAAGCAGAATAGCTCTTTTCTGTGACGCCTTTAAGGGGATTATGGGATTGGGTTGAAAATGCCTAGAAACTTCTTGAAATGAAGGTGTGCTATGGGATAGACAGATGTCTCTAAACCTGGAATGTTCATAAGCCTTACACCTAACCACATCTGCTAGGCAACTTGTTCATATATACATTCACTACAGATGTTTAGTAAGCACCTACTCTACATGGGACTCTGCTGATGTTCACCTGGACCAGTTACACAGGCTTGGCATGGGTGTTTCCAGGCATAGTTGTGTCTATAGTATGGAATGTTCTACCCTATGTGTCTGGGACTGCCAGAGTCTGAGAGATCTAGCTCTTTGCCTCTCAAAGTGCAGCCCATAGCCAGCAGCTTGGGCATTACCTTGGAGTTTTTGGAAATGCAGAATCTCAGGCCCCACCCAAAACCTACTGAATCAAAATTTACAGTTCCACTAAACCCCCAGGTGATTCCCATGCACATTAAAATTTGAGAAGCTTTGTTCCAAGCTTCTGCCCAAATCCTTCACTATAACCTTTTTCCTCTCAGGCATCTGTTGATATCAGACCTCCATAGAGCCTTGATAAGGAAACTGGACAGCTTAGTTGTTTTCCACTCTCTTGGTAGCTTTCTCTTAATGATCTCAGGCCTCAGACTACTGTGGAACATTAAGCTTTCCATGGTTTCATTTAAGCTGGTTTTTGTGATTAAACCTTAATTCTAGAACCAAAGCTCCTTGACTGTATTCCATCAGAAAAAATTTTAAATTGCACTGAACAGAAAGAAGCCTTCTGTTTGAGGAGGGAGGGAGCAGTGGGGGATGATAGAGTAATAGACAGGCCAGTGGTCCTAGTGCATTCAGCAGGCAGCTATGAGGCTTGGGGACACCCCATGCAGATGGACAAGAGGAGGCTTCTGTCACGCTCTGGGGTGGCTCTTCTCTTACTGCTCTAGGTCAAGTGTAGCATTACAAGTGCCTGAGAAATTAGGTGAAGTAGAAATTGGATGACTGACTGAGAAGTCTGTGTCACAGAAACACAAACTTCATCCCCCTGGAGGCAAGTAGGAAGTTCTGCCACTGGCTTCCTGTTTATCAGTGGACAGATCACTTCACATGTCTAGGCCACCTTTTAAATTTAGAAATTGAGAATGCCCAGACAGGGAGGTGCTGTGGTGCAACCTTCTGGGAAGCCATTACTTGGCCCATCCTGGAGTCTTTGGCATTGGGTTGGATCTACCAGTCAGTGAAGATGGAAGGAAAGTAGAAGAGATCAAGAAGCCTGCATGAAACCAGAAGGCTCTCCTTTACTGCAGAGGAGGAGATGGAGTGGAGTAGAGTGGGATAACAGTGGTCTAGTGATCAGGGCCCACCTGCTGCATCTGTCCCTCTTCCTGAGGTTCAAGCAGGCAGAGCGGCCAGATGATGTGCTAGGAAGGGGACTGGAGCAGCGCCCAGGAGGACATTCACATCCTGTGTCTTGGACTCTCTTATGACCCCACAGGTTCAGTTTTCCGGGACGAGTTTGACCTGGCCATTCTCCAGCTGCAGGAGAACAATCGCCTTGAAATCCTGAAGCGCAAGTGGTGGGAAGGGGGGAAGTGTCCCAAGGAGGAAGATCACAGAGCTAAAGGTAAAGATGTTCAAGACCTTTCCTCCCACCCTAGAGGACAAAAGCATTTGTTTCTTATGTCCAGATTTCAAGTAATGACTTCTAGGACGAAGAGAGAATGAGCTCTGGAAGACATGGCAGACCAGACTGGGGCTGGCTGGAGTCAGGCTTGTCCCAGGGTCTTATATACTGTAGGTACCCAGTGTACCCCTGGCCCACAAGAACTGCAGGCACAGCCTCTGCTTTGTGTCCTGGATCCACCACTGTAATCCCCAGCACCAAGGCTTCCACTCTAGTGCATATTTCCAACATCTCCCACCTGTGTGGTTGCAATAGCCTGGATCCTTTTCCCATTTTTACATCTCAGTAGTGTATTCTCTACTACTAGCCTGGATGATTCTTCTTTAAAATGTAAATTGGATTGCAGCATTGCCCTTCCAGTGGCTCCTCATCTTGGAATAAAATTCAAGCTATTACCTCAGGGCCCTATGTGACCGGCTCCCCTTGTGACTTGCTCTTCTCTTTCTCCTCCTCACACTTCCCAGCTTGCTTCCATACCAAGGTGGGCACGTGCTTGCACCCTCCCCAGCTTCCCTGGGAGCCCTCCCTCAGAGAGGTCCTCACTCCCCTTCCCACCATAACCCCAATTTCAGACCTCATTACCACCTGATGTAATGTGTTTGTGTATTTACTTTCCACCTCTTCTACTGGAAAGTGGGTTTCATGAGGGCAAGGTATGTCTTCTGCAGAGGGCCTGGTCCATGGATATTTTTTACTGAATGAATAAACGAATGTTGAATTTGCATTGGGTTGAATGGAAAGCAGTCTCCCACCAACTACATGTGTAATAAGAGTGTAGAGGGTCCCTGAACATCCAGATTTTCTACAGGGGAACATATCCTGGTTTGTCCCGATTACATATTTTGTAGATCAGTAATATCTGTTAGCTATTTTTAGATAACATTTATTCTCAAAATGTCCTGGTTTGGAGAAAACAGCATATGATCATACTAGTAATCCACTATAGCCTTGCTAAAACATGCAACAAATTTACCTGTGCACATCATCCCCTAGGAAGGTAGCTGAGGAGCAGAATGAAGGATAGCATGCACTTGCCTTTCTTCTCAGCATGAATGATTATCCTTGATGAGACAGTGAATGAACAACTATGTTTCTAAGTGTCTACACATGGATCTCTTATCTGGCAAAGAGAGGTTTCCGGAATAGGGATGTAAAGTGCAAGTCATTTGTAATGTAAAGGAAGTGCTGTCTTCAAAAGAACCTGGGCAGGCCACACACTTCTTGGCTCTTCTCTCTGCAAAGACTAGGGCTGCCCTTCAGGAGGGCACTGGCCACTAGTGGACATTGGCATGGGCAGATCTTGTTTGATTCCCAGCTCCACTTACTGCTAATCTGTGAGCTTAGGCACATTAGTTACCACTACTGAATTCTCATTTTTTAAAAAATCTGCGGAATGAATACAATAACCAGGGCATGATCAGGTTATTGTGAAGGTTGAGTGAAGTAGCATGGAGCTTAGCTCATGGTAAGGGCCCAAGGCATCACAGTGTTACTGTTCTGCACTCCTGCTGTGCCATACTGCTCTCAACTCCAGGTAGTGTAATCCCAGATATTCAGGAAGTTGAAGAAGGAGGATCTCAAGTTCAAGGCCTCCCTGGGCAAGACCTTGTCTTAAAAAAAAATAGAAAGGGGTGGGGGTGTAGCTCAGTGGTAGAGTGCCCTGGGTTTAATCCCCAGTAGCAAAATAAAACAAAACAAAACAACTCCAGGGCAGGCTGGTTCTGTGAGCTGTCTACAGATAAGTTATTTTCATGGTCAGCCAGCCATTCAATAAACAAAGAAATCCTGAGTGATGGTATTTCAGACCATTGTTTTTACTCCAGAGAATAAGAAAATCCTACAGATTTCCTATGAAATATCCTAGAGTGATTTCTGGAAACAAAACCAACAAACTTAAGTGACTAGCAAAATTATAGATTCTAGCCAAATTACAATTAAATTCTGTTGGGGGTGGGGGTAATACAGAGGAGACTAACTCTACTACTTGCACAGGGAGAAAAAAACAGAGGAGATATAGAGAAAAATATCAGAACATTTTCATTGGGTAGAATGAACTAGATTCTGACAATGCACAGGAATTGAACAAGTAACAATACCGGGGAGAAGGTATTGCAGGCAAATAGGCACATTGAGGAAGGACATAGAAGCAGAAATTAGTACAGTGGGCAGGCCTGTGTGCTGGGACTGAAGGTGCAGCTGGGATCCAGTTTGCAGCCCAGGCATAGCAGAGCATGCTGGACCCAGTTTGAGAGAACTGGCTGAAAATGTCAGAGGTTCTAGAGTGACATGTGGCACCATGAAGGCTGGAGCCATAGAGTGATTTCTGAGCTCTTAGTGGTGTTCCTATTTCCAAGGGACAGTTATTACCTCAGGAGAAAGCAAATCAAATTATTGGCTTTAAGTTCCAAAACAAGTCTTTTTACAATTCATTGGAGAAACAATGTTCTTAAAGCAAGGTTGTTGATTTACTAGGGAATTATTTTGGAATACAGAAATGGATGCCCAAAAGAAATTGTGCATAAGGTTGATGCTAGAAGTGAGAGAGTGAAACAAATGAAATAGAAGAGCCTATGCCACCAAATTTGCAAACCAGATAAAAAGATGACCTGGCCAGGACACATTGGAATGTGGCCAGTCCCTGAAAATGAGCCTCTGCGCCTTTTTGGGAGCTGAGTAGTGACAGGTATCACCTATAGAATTAGCTAGGAATTGAAAGCGTTATAAAAAGTTTTTTCTGCCTTTTCTGGAGTTTGGCGAACCCCAGAAATATGTGATATGCCACAGTGGAGTGGGCACATGAAGGATGGTACATGGGAACCCAGGGCAGAGAAGACCCAGTGAAAGGCCTGAGTTTTTGTAGGCCCTAGACAGGGATATTAGAAATCTAAGTGGACTCCAGTTAAGACCACACCCCCACCCCCACCCCATGCTGACACAGATTGGTCCTCCTTCTGAATCCCAGCCCTGAAATATTCCCCCAGAGGGAAGGAGAAAACATTGAATTTAAACCTGAAATGACTGAGAATTCTCTGTGCATTTGGAAATCACATAGAAATGAAAGTTACAAGTAAAAATTATGTTCACACATTGAAAAATAGTCACCAATTTTGCAGTTGTTGGCTTTGGAAATGCTTCCCCATTCCATGGAGATCCAGGTAGACTGATCTTACAGCAGAGCTCAGGGTGGAGGAGAGCTGACAGGGAGATCAGGATCCCAGATAGGAAGGTGTGAGCAGGAGGCCTCTCTACTGTGCATGAGGACCAAATTCCCTGGCACAGAGAAGAGAATTGAACAGATGAAAGAGGATTATCAACAGAAGTCATCTTTCCTGGATCCCAGGGCTTCAGAGAATGCCTGAGTTCTATCTACCCACCAGCATTAACTTGCCTGTCTGCCACTGTCCTTTGGAACAAAGGGTGGTCTCTACTCATCAAGCGGTGATGTCCAAGCATGGGACTGTCCAGGAGATGCTGTGCAAGTTGCCATGAAAGAAGGGCATTGGCCAGCAGCGAGCGAGGCCAGTGTTATGCAGTGGCTCCATTTTGGCTGTGATGGAGACCAGGCAAACATCACTCAAAGAGGCTCAAAGCCTTCTTGGCTAAGTGAAATTCCACATGACTTCCTCCAGGGTAAGCAAGAGGCACTAGCCTCAAACATAAGGTGTTATTGCTTCATCCATCTCTCTCTCTCACACTCTCTCTCTCTCTCTCTCGCAAATTAGCCATTGGGCTTACTATGATGTATAACTTACTACTCAAGAGACTCATCAGAGAAACAGGACTGCCATGACCCAAAAGATCCCTTCCTTGAAGTCTTCAAATGGCCACCAGAAACCAAGCACCAGGAATATTTTTTCCCTTGTGTCTCAAAAAGAACAGAGGGCAGTAGTTTTAATTTTCTTTCCATGGCAGCTCCTAGGTGATCTTTCTTTCTGTAATTTGAATCAGCTGGCTTTCATATGTGCCTAAAGAGGAGTATGGAACTGGCAGAGAGAGATGGAGGTCCTCTAGATAGGAGTAGGAGGGGGGTCCTTTCTTCAGAGACCTCTAAAGGTGACAGCGGCTATAGACACTTTTGGTTTCAATTAAAATGTACTAAACAACATGCCAGTGCCTAATATAATACTTTTCTGCTTTGTTATCCTATTAAAATGTGAGAATTTGCAAAGAAAAGGAACTGGTGCTCACTCTACTTCTAATCCAATAATCCAACTAAAACATCACTGCCAAACATCGAGAAGAATCCTAACATTGGGATGATGCCACCCATCTCGAGCTTTGCCATCAGGTATTCCTTGTTTCTTTCCCCCTTCACTTCATCTCCCCTCTTGCTTTCCCTGCCTATAGCCTAATGACTATCTACCTTTATACAACCGCCTGAAAAATGAAACGGCAGATTGTGTGGAAGACTGGAGATTACAAAACAGAGAAAGCTCCATTCCAAGCAGTTTCATTTGCTTCTACCTTCTCTTTGCAAAAACATTTTATTTATTTATTTATTTATTTATTTATTTATTTTTTCACTCAGCTCCTATAAAAAGAAATATTGCTAGCCACTCACGTATGCTGGCAACCCAATTCAAGGAGATTGGATTACTGAAGGCTTTGCAGAATAATTACTAGACAAAAAAGGTGGTTGGTGAACTCCCAGGAAATTAAATACATTTATCTTGAAAAATGCAAGCTTACAGTCAGGCTTCAACGAAACAGAAATACACCACCAGGCTGTGAAAATCAGGGTCCCCTTTCAGGAATAAAAAAGAGGCCAGTGGCATTGACTCAGAATCCTTGGTGAACAGGAAGTTTGCTGTCTGGCTCAATGGGAATGAAAGCAGGAGACATCTTAATAGGAGTGGGGCCAGGTGATGGGGAAAGGGGGACTCTGGGGACGTTTTTCTCTCTTCTCAGGGGGCCCAGCTTGGCTATCTGGGTTCTCTGGT